TGTGGCGCCTGACAACTGCACGCAGCGGCGCGAGCCCTTAGCAAGCGCCGGCGGTTCAACGTCGCGGCTTGTATATGCGCCTTCGGCATGCAATCATGATCAGTCTCCTCGGCGGTTGTCAGTTGCTGACATCTTGACTCGAGCTTCAGCTGACATCTTGACTCGAGAAATAAAATTATCGAAGGAACTACGAGTTTCAAGATGACTGCCTGGGTGACAGCACATCTCTGCACTTGAAAAAGGGTGTGTGCAACTGACAACCGCTTAGCAAATAGATTAAGAAGGCATGCCATAAACGCATACAAGCCGCGACGTTGGGCAGCCGGCGCTTGCGAAAAGCTCCCGCCGCTGCGCGCAGTTTGTCAGGCACCGCACGTTGGATAGGACAAACGGTGTTACGGCTTCGCAGGCAATCGGACAAAGGATTCGCGGCAACACATGTCTGCACTTGAAAAAGGGCGTTGGCAACTGACAACCGCTCAGAAGATAGATTACGAATCCATGTTATAGGCGCATTCAAGCCGCGACATTGAGCCGTCGGTGTTTGCGAAGGGATCGCGCCTGAGCGCGCAGTTGTCAGGCGCCGCAGCGTTGCATATGACTCAGCTTCGCAAACATTCGAACAAATGGTTCGCGGCGACAAAGCGCCGTGCTGTATGTTGGTTAAGTAAGCGGCACTCGAAGGCACACGCTACAGTGCGAGTCAACGGAGCGAGCGCGGGCGGCCAAATCACAGCGCGTGCACTGGGCTCTCGCGTCGCGATTGTTGATTCAGAGCTCTGCCTAACCCTATGACATCTGCGCGGGTGTTCATAAACAGCTCCTTTCGACTGCAAGCGGGTCAAATGAACCAAAATGAACAGCTAACAGCACGATAGGAATGGTAGCAACGATAGTACTCACCCGGGGAACGACGCGCGAAGCGGCGTGTTGTCCGTCGGCACTTCCGTCGAAAAAGGCGAAATAAAGACACAAATACTATATAGATACAACAAATATCGCGCGCAGAAGAGAATAGAAACACTTAGAAGCAATAAAAAATACACTGGAATAAATAAAAATAGGTAATGAATCGAAAAACAGAGGATCAAGATGAGACAAGCGACAAGGCAATGCGATCTCAAGGCAGAGCGGCCAGGCGAGGGACAGTCCCTCCCACAATTCCTCGCGCGTGGGTCGGAGCGCTTGGGGGATTTCGCAAAAGGTAGTATTGAAAGAAACTAATTCTAATCGCTGAACAAGTTAATAACTTATTTTTTCTTTTGTTGTATTAACTGAAATAACCAATCAGTGCTGCCCTTAATTCACCCCCAGCCATCACAATCCGCAGCCAACTGGCCAACCTGTCGCGCATGCGCATAGCAGTCGAGCCTGAGTCGAACCTGTGTCGAACCTGTGTCGAACTTTTCACAATAAGTTCGAAAAAGTCGAACCTGGTCGACCGCGAACCTTCACCGGTTCGCGACACCCCTAGTTTTAACGCATACCATAAGTGACAACATTCAAGATGGCTGCGCCTCCGTGGAAAAGGTGTATATGAGACTCGAAGCCTTGCCTTCAGCGTGAGCTGGCTGGCTTCCGCACTGCTTAATTTGCTTGCGCGTGCCAGTGCGTTCACACTTGTGTTAGCAAGGGCAGAAAGCTCGCGCTGAAGGAGCTTCTAGTCTCAGCTTATGGGTGAACGGACCCGGTTTCTGCGCACGCGCAATGCCCACAGCTTGTGTGGGCCAACTCTAACTTGTTTGTGAACAACATGTTGGTCTATGCATACATACGGGGTGCGCAGCCGGCGACGTGTGCAAGAGCGCCTGCGCCATCCCTCGGATGCGGAACCACTGCGGCCTCCGGATGCAGCCGGGCTCCGCGTGCGACGCCATGCGGGGCTACTGCGACGTGTTCCAGGTGTGCCGCTCCATCGACCCGGACGGGCCCCTCACCCGACTCCAGCGCTTCTTCTTCGGCGGCCAAGCCATCAGCACCACCATCGACTACATCGCGGTACGCCCGACATCCACTTCGACATGGAGACATTTTAGTTTGTTTATTTTCGTTCGTTTTCAACTTTATTAGGGGGTTACAAAGGTTCCAAGATCATACGTTAGCTTGTGGTGCCGTTTAAGAACAAACAGTAAGGGAGCAACTCACAAAATTATAGAGAACATAATATGCGATATGCTAAATCTAGAGCGCCATCGAGTAGCGCGCCAAGAACTACATCCGCCATCTTGATACCCGCGAGAAAACTAAACCAGTGATCCGTACGGCAAAGAACCGATGTAAACAAGCGACCGCGCTTCGTGCGAGAGGTGCGATGCCAACGCGTTGCTGCGTTTTGTTGCGGATGCAGCGATAAACCTTCGATTCGTGCGTGACGTGAACGCAAACAATTTTTTTTTATGTGTTACTTTACACGCAGCTTTTCAAAAAAGAAAAAAAAAATCAGTGACAACGCGAAAAAAAACAAAAAAAAACATGCGGGTGTTATCGCACGCGTGAACCTCTCCCTACAATAGACTGGGCCACTAGGGCCAGAAGGCTGGCGGGCGGAGCGCTACCTCGGAAAAGTTTGCATCCGCATTGCAAAAGAGTGCGCGAGAGAAATTCCGATACGCAGAGTACAAACAGCGCTGATCTTACACATATGGTTCTCTGTTGTGATAGCATGCTACTAGATATTGGTGAAGTAAGAGTACATGGTGTTTAGTTTCATAAACATTCATGGCGACATTTCGTAAACATGTTAACTGTTTGAAGAAGGTGGAGGGCGCGCAGGCAACACTTACATAAAGTCGTTTCGACAGTGATCCGAAACATCTCCATTTCTTATAACTCGGCGTCAACTTTTCTTGGCAATACAGTGGAGAGGAGGAGAGCCCGCGCACAGCTTTATTCAGCGCTCCAAGGGGACGCGTGCCTGTACCCTCCACCGCATTGCCAAGAAAAGTTGTCGCGAGTATAGTACCCACTGGTTCTAATCCCGGGTTCTCTTCGCCATATCACTTCCGCACGGTATTTAATTCCTTCATTAGTCTTTAGTAGTAGCAAGCAGACGGTGCCGCCGCGAGGGCTCGACAAGCAGACGAAAAACCCGTCTCCGCATGACGCGTCTTGGCGCACTGATACGGACAGTGGAGCAAATATACCCAATGGTTTCTAACAGGCTCGTGATTGGACCTGGCGGCCTGTACCATTGGGCTTCACTCCGTCGTAGGGTGAGACGGAGTATATTGAAAAGGGCCCTAAGCTCTTCACAAAGTTTTACTAATCTTGTTTCTAATTTTTTTTTTCTGGTGCACGTTAGTGTTGGCCTAAGTTTTTCTTTACGCGAAAAAACCTCAATGTACGCGAACGAGATCAAGGTTGTGCAGCGAGGCAAAAACCTAACCGTTTTAATAATCTACGCCACAAACCATGATTGAAGATGCGTATGGTTAACAGTGAACAATAAAAGCAAAAAACACCACAAAGTAAACATTTAAATGTCATATATTTAAAAAAAATACTGTGGACAGCCAGAAAACAATATCATTGCTTAGCAGCGATTTCTTTAACTAAACAGGAGAATTCGTTGATAAAATATTCTTGGATATTTAAAGCGCGGTTATGTTTAATAGAAAACACGACAGACACGGACGACGTTTCTGTTTCTCAACTCTCACAGAGACGGAATTTTGCTGTATCTTCTGTCGGACGCCATGTTCTATTATATCACTTACTTAGGTTCATCGCAGTGACAAAAACTTCGATGTCGGCAGCGGCAAAAAGTTACGCTACGTACGTCAACTTCATTTCATGGCCCCGTCCTTCTTATTTTTTTATTATTTTTTTTTTGTTGTATGGTCGCAGCCGGTGTTAAAATTTCTAATGCAGAGGAACTCGTGGAGAGGGGAAGAGGAAAGGGGGGAGGAGTAGTTTTTGGGAAAATCACTGCAGTTACCTGGCAGGGTTGATCAAATCTTCATCAACTAGCGCGACAAACGTCAACTGTGCTTGAGGTGGATGCTACCTAAATCAATTTAAGCTTTTTGCAATACCTGCATTTTTTTTTCCCCAGGACTCAGTTTCCTTTACAAGAACTCAGAAATTTCCACCAAATAAATCTTTCGCCAGTAACAATTAAAAAAAAAAAAAAAAAAAAAAAAACCTGGAGTTGCATGTATCGGCGTGAAGCAGTCTACCGTTAAACCGCACGACTTCATGTGTCTTCGCAACAAAAAAAGAATTGAAAAGTGTCCTCAGAGATGAAAGCCATAGTTCAGACTAGAAGCTCCGCCTTCAGCGTGAGCTCGCTGGCTTCCGCAGTGCTTTGGTTGCGGGTTACTGTGCGTTCACACTTGTGTTAGCAAGGGCAGAAAGCTCGCGCTGAAGGCGGAGCTCCTAGTCTGGTGAACAGAGTATAGTGCTTTGTCAACGTTGGGGTGATCGTAGATAAGAAAACAATAAAGTTGCTGAATCACAATCAGTGACAAAGCGTCCCTTCCCTGGAAATGCTGAGAAACTGACACTCAAGGAACTCGACGCTACCAAGATGGCCGCGCCCACAGTGTTGTCAGGCCACCAAGCAGTTTCGCATATCGTCTATTGGACTGCGCAGATGAATATACATACATAAAACAAAATGCAACATAATACAAGGTATCCAAATTTAACATAAACAATAAAAATACAATGGGCAGTTTTGTAAGTTGAGTTCATTCATTTATACATATACGCTTATTTTGACATGTCCTAATATCTTCGCACATTTTTTTTTTGCGTTTATTTTTTGCGTTTATAGTGCGCGTGGACAGACCGCGTCCATCTGCAGACCGGTCGGAACGACTCTGAGGGCCGAATCTGGCCCGCGTGCCGGGTTTGGAGAAGCCTTCCCGATCCAATCAAGCGTCTAGTGAGGCAGGCACGCTGCACTTGTTTGCCTGCCACTGGCTCTACAAAAAATAACCTCCGCGGCGTTACAAAGTCGGTGTAAAAGAATTGTAGTACACATTTTACGATTTCAGATATTAAAGAACAATTTGGCAACTGCTGCACTTTTGGTCAAGAGTAACGAATTGCAATGACAGACGCTTTCGTCAGACAGTGAATTCTAGTTAACTTATTCAAATATAATTTGCACTTTAATTTCCGTCGAAGTACAATGCGCGAAGGCGATTAAAAAAATATACGCGTAAACATTTCAGTTCACATCTCGGACAAACTTTCTGTAACCCAAGTGCGTCACGGAATACTGCGTAGACAGGGCCTTGACTGATATGAAAATGATTTGCCACGTCATCCACTGTCACTCGTGTGTCTGGCAGCGTCAGTTCACGGGCACGCTCAATGCTGCAGCATCAATCGTGGACGGGCGTCCAGCTCCTTCATGGCTGACACTTGTGCGTCCTTCCTTGAACCAGTCAAATACACTTATTCGCGACAAAACACTTTCCTCACATTGGATACAATATATCGACACCAAACACACCCGCAGACCACAAAACAAAACAAAAAGAAAACATCAATCACGGCACGCTGTTTTTCTTACGAGCAAATCACAATCACAAGTAGTACAGCCGTTGTTTGTAACGCTCCGATTGAACTGACGTAGCAGGTTCAAACCTGCACATCAGTGACAGCTGATGTCCAGGTTTGATGTGCAGCTGGTGTGCAGGTGGCAAACAAAGGTTTTTAACCGGAGTGCAATTAATTTCTTAATCACCATTCTCGCGCATAAACCAGCGTTTAGAAGATGGCATTGAGACAATGTTTTAAGGCGGACATGAGCAGTACATGCCACAAAGTGTGCTTTCTCTGGCAGGACCATCCGTTCTGGTCGGCATTTGCGCTGCTGGGATCCGCATGGTTCATGGTGCTCGTCTTCCGTTGTTTCGCCGTGCACACTCCGAGCAGCAATCCTCACAAAAAGCCCCCTTATAAACTCAAAGATACCATCAAACATCCGCTGAATGTCTTCGTAAGTATACCGTCCATGCGTAATGTCACGTATTGCAATCTACAATATTATTTCTTTTTCTCTCCCTTTCAGAAAGACTGAATTTGGAGAACACCAGCATGCTCTTCCTTAGGTTTCAGTAGACTTTAAGAAATCGAGAGCGTGGGCTTTCCCAAAAAGCACTTGGGATAACCAATATGTCGAAGCCTCGAAAAGCAGTCTGCGCTATACGGCACTGAGCACTGTAAAACGCGTCGTGCTCAGTGTGTGTCGCAGACTGTCTTTCTGGCCCTAACATATTCTCAGACTCGTCATCCTCCGAGACTGCCCTCCCTAGATTGTAGCGGTTGGTTTCCCAGGTGCTTTGCGGAAAAGCCCACGCTCAAGCTTTCTTAGAGTGTACTGCATAGGACAATAAAGTTGTAAGGACAACATATATATCAGTAGCAAATAAATCGAAGGCCGCCTGATGATGGCCACCAAAACCATGTTTTATAGTTATAGTCATACAAGATGGGCGCCGTTCTTACTTCGCCTGCGACATGGACTTGAAATTTTCTCCCGAAATAAAATTACCATATTCCAGGACGAACCTATCTTCTTTCCCAAGTCAGTCTACCTTACACTACATTGTAGAACAAACTGCAGACCGTTATATGAAGGGCTACCTACTTTCAAATAAATCCGAAGAAATTGATTACCACATGCGGGTAAAACGCATGGTAGTTCTTGTCATGCATGTGACCTGCAGGTAAGCATTTCAGGTTGTAATTCCTTAAAGGGGCAGTGCAACGATTTTCAGACTTTGGCCAATTAACTGCGGAAATTAATCTGCGTCACCCATGGAACGAAAAACCGAAAGCCGCATTTTCTTGCGAGCGCTAGTTGTTATTTAAAAAAAAAAAATAAAACCAATCGAAGGTCGAGGTGCCTCTCAACTCTCCACGCCGACTTTCGAGTGACGTACTCTGGGGGTTCCTGGGGTTTCCCCTTGGGCCCTCTCTTCAGAGACCCCAGCCGCATCCTCCGCGATTATCGACTTTCAAAGGATTAGCCCCGTCGAAGGTCGCGGCGAGCGATGAACAGAAGGGACGGTTCGCCACGGGGCTGACGGCGAGTGTAGCAGCGGAGGGGGAAAGGTTTTGTTGACTTCCGCGCATCCCCCAGAGACGCCGTCATTTTAGTTCCCGTAGCCGCCACAGGCGGCTGCAGATCGGCGAATAATTCGTTTTTTTGCCTTGCGATTACGCAGCAGAATAGCCGTTTTTTGGAAAGGTGACGCGTTTTTGGTCACTTGGGCCTGTATAAACAATATAAAAAGTGCAAACTGGCAATTCTTTCAACATTAAAACCGTTGCACTGCCAAGCAGCTAAAAGCAAAAACAAAACAAAACTCGCCCCTTTGCCGTACCAGCGTGGTAAAGGCATACGATGTGGTAGTGTGAAAAAACTGTGTACACATGGGGAGACTGCCCGGAGAGAAGCGGCTTGGTCGCGCAAGGTAAGCGCGTGAGAACTCGGGGGATGTCGTACTTGTGGGTGCAATCTTCGGTGGTTCCGGTGTAAATGCGACTTTCTCATGGCATGGTGGAGTCAGTATCAAAGGCTCTGGGTGGAGTGTAAGGTGCACTAGACGGAGCGTAAGGAAAACAGAACAATTAGAACGCGTCAGTCCCAAGAAGAACCTTTGCGCCAGCTGGTGGCAAAGGATAACTAGACTCCGGAACTATACACGAACTCATCTCTGTTACGTCATGGCGCGGTGGTGGCGCGTCGGATGCACTTCCGCTCCGGGCTGTGGGCGGAAGTGCCCATGTGAGACGAGTATTCCTGCGTTGTTTTGAAGGGAACCAGACAAAAACCTGCCTTCTCGTCAAAATGCTGTGACTAGGGTTGTCCCAGAAGAGTCGAGAAAGGTTTGAAGGTCAGTTTTCATGCGCTCGGTTTGCCCGAGAACGTGGATATGTGCCGTGAAAAGGGAAAACCAGACGCCGTCGGACCACGATTGCTTGGGCGGGAAGCACTTGGGGTTGAATTCACGGATACTTCTGGTCATCAGATTTATTTGTTTTGTTCCAACATGAACGCCGGAAAACCGTCAAGTTGTACGGACCACCTGCGGACTACGTTCAGTGAGTCTTCAAGTTCAAACGGCCGCCTGATCGTTCGAACTGTCGTCTGCTCTTTCAGACGTTTCTGCTTGTCGTCCGCTCTTTTAGAGGACACCGGCCCGTATAGACCAAACGTGGGGCCGGTACTTGCGATAAGAAGTAAGTGCAGGCCTCAAAAGACTTAAAAGGTTGGTAAGCAGGCTCGACGTAAACAGTAAACAGGAGATGTTGATCATTGTTACCAGTGGCCATCACAGACTTGTTATGCCTGATTCACTTGGTTAGATTCTGCTTGCGATTTTCAGTATCGACGTCGACTATCTCAGCTACGGTTCACGCTTTTGCAGCCCGAGCGACGTCGCTACTGAAAATTGCGAGCGAAATCTCATCATGTGAATGAGGCTTTAGCGTACATTCTGCGGCGTCCACGCGGAATGAACAGCCGCATGTCAGATTATTTACGCGAAGTTTTGCAATGTAACGAGCCTCGTTAATTTTGCTGAAGCCGCTCAAGTAGTCAGACATTGTTAGGAGGACGTAGAGTCAACAATTCCAACGCGAAAAAGAGCGCGGGGACTCACACCGACGCCGACAACATCGCATTTCAATGGTTTGTTTATGGGCGACGGCGAGTTTCTTGCCCACACCCCCATCGCGCATGCGCGGCGCCGGTGGCGTCCGCTAGGGGCGCTCCGGTTTGTTTGTAAACGAGTTGGTGTATACCTCAAACCGTTACGGCAAAGGAGTATGCTTTTTCTCAGTGTTAGCGCTCTAATACATGCGCTGACCCTGGACTCGTCTTAAAGGGGCGGTGCAATGATTTTTACACTGAACGAATGTGCAGCCTGTATTTTTTATATTGTTTACTTCGGCATAAGTAAGAGAAAAAGTGCCACCATACCCCAAAATACCTCTATTTCGCTGCGTAATCGTAAAATAAAAAACGCTTTTTTTTCCCAACCTGCGGCCACATGGTGGCCGCCATAGAGTTATTATAATGTACGCTAGAGGTTCAACTGGCGCTAGTGTGCTGTGGCAAATTGAAGCAGACTGCAAGCAGTTCGAAATTGACTTCCGGTAATGCATTTCTACGAAAAAAAGCGAGTGCATTTCCTCTCTGCGCTCGATTATAAGAGCAAATATCACGAATAAATCGTACCTACTAGGCACATTGGAACATTTCCCAGACACGCAGATAAAATAATTGGTCAGTTACGGCGTTTTTATTTTAAAATCGTGGCATGAAAAACGGTGCTAAAACCACTTCGTACATGTATTTATATGCACTGTCGGACACTGTTAGCGCGAACACTACGTCGGCGCTTCCCAGTATGGGGGATATACGTGCCAAACGAACGAAGGACAGGTGGAAAACGAAGAGAGACGGCAAGAACTACGCAGTAACACTGGATAAGTAACTCTGCTTGCAGACGATCACAACAAATTGAAAGTCACGTAATATAGTCCGATTTGCAATAAATCAGTACTGCTTTATGCTTCCTGCTCGTGAATATGTGCGAAGATGCTTGTACTGTGTTCAAATCGATCATCACCCGGAACCGCTAAGGGGCAGCGAATAATCAGAGAATCTGGATTACAATTACAGGTGAGAACGCTTTGGTCGTCCGCGGACGTTTTCCGTCGCGACCGAGCGGTTGTCCGGGACTTGTTGTGCGGCAGGGAGCCGCGTAAGGGCAGGACCTCCAGCACGCCCTTCATTCCAAGTTTCCTCCTATAGTCTCCGATCGGAGATTGGGGAATTCCATTTAGCGCTCTCTGGGCGGCACCATTTTGTTCGACAGCAGCGCCCCTTTCATACATCCGGGAAATTCAGCGGGTTCGGCGGGGTAAAACGAGAGAGAGGGCACGCGCCCGACTCCGCTAGCAGACGACAAAACGGGAGGTTGCCATTCTCCATCTTTGGGCTGTATCGGCGGGCTGTACGGAACATCGAACTCTCACTCGTGGCTACGGTTGTGAAGTGGTTCGCGTTCTTAGAATAGT